TGCCACTTAGAGATGAAAGGAATCTTTCTAAAATAATCCCCAGATCAGAGATAAAAACTAATACTGGCTTAAAATGACTTGGCAGGTAGGAAGAAAATATTTTCATTTGGATGGAAAATAACATTTTTTTTTTAAATTGTTAAAAGGATATTTAACTAATGGTATAATTTTAGCCATATGTACCACATCAGTATACATGGGTAGAAATAGGTCAAACAAAGTATTCTATTTTTCAGTTTTCCTTATTCTTAACATGTGTTTATTATTTGTTTTGGATTGGAAATTTAGATTATCAATTTTTTCTACCTTTTCCTATCTCTTCAAACATTCTTGATAAAAGCAGTTGTGACTTCCACTTGTAAGTTCAGGGTTGACTTGTCTTTGGACTGATGCCTTGAGGCTTCTCGTTATTCATGCTAATTGACAAAAAGTTTATTTCAGTTGTATTGTAGTCATTATTTGGATTAAAAATCTAAATGACCTCTAATTTGACCTGGGTTCAGTTTTTGTTTATTTTTTAGTGTAATTTCTAATTTTTATTAAAGTAAAGAAGACTTAATAAAGTCAGGATAGAATTTATGGCTTTGCTTTTATGTGTGATGAATATATAAGTACTTTTTAAATATTGTTATTCAGTACGTCTTTCGTAAGTGAAAGTTTGTATCTTTAAGAAATAAGTAAATTACCAATCATCTTCTACTGTGGGTATTTCAAGAACAGGTGTACTGTTTTATTAATCTTCATCACCTTTGTGACTTATAGGTTGTCTATAATATCAGCAAGCTGATCCCACTATTTACTAAGAATCCACAAAGTACCAGAAACTTAAAAGCTTCACAGACCGTATATGCTGGCTATAAGACTAGTAAATTGTGGAGCTAGAATTCGGAATCAGCTCTGCCCAGCCCCAAAGCCTATGCTATTTAAGCATCATCATTTTCTAAGTTTATGTTCAATAAATTCTTAAGTAAATGAATAAAATAAACATAATTCATTCGGATTTTGAGATCTATGCATTTGGTATTTAAAAAAAACAAAAACCTTGCTGTCACGTCGATTCTGACTCATAGCGACCCTATAGGACAGAGTAGAACTGCCCCATATGGTTTCCAAGGAGCAGCTGGCAGATTTGAAATGCCAGCCTTTTGGTTAGCAGCCGATCTCTTAACCACTGCACCACCCGGGCTCATTTGGTATAAGGATGCCAAAATTTACTAGACTCATATACAAATACCAGAAATTCCTAAAAAAATAAAAATAAAAAAGTTTATAGTATAAATTAAAATTGCTAATTTAAATTAAAAAAAATCAAACTAATTTTTTAAATAATGTAAGTACAAGATAACTTGATCTTGCCAAGGCTAAGTAGTAATGTGATTTTCATGTTAGCTCGGGTGACATCTAGCTCAAGAAGTCTCTCTGAAAATCCTGACTGAGATGTGACGCTCCTCCCCTTTTCACTCGCATACTCCTCCATTTATATTTCCTGTCGCATCCAGACTTATAGGAGAATTATTGTGTTCCTATCATCGCTTTTCCAGTAAGTTCCTCCAATGTAAAACTCATGCCTTATTTATATTCAGACTCTCTTCTCATGTCATAGTTGCTTTCTACATAACTGTAGAAAAATGGACGGATGAATAAACAAGTACAGGAAGCAAAGAAAAAAATAGCTGAACTCAAACGCTAAGCATTAATTTTAAACTAATTTTCAACATGCAAGTGGATTTTATACTATATTATGTTTAGACGTATCTGTAATGAGAGGGACTAGGAAAATAAAAGGGGATCTGGAAATCATAGATTCTGGTTCATTTTGTTTTTTTTTTTTTTTTTGAGTCAGATGCTCAAATGTATCTCCCTAGATGGGTAAAAAATGTTTATTGTCAGCAGCCCACTCATAAACTTATATAAAACTCAGGTTAAACAAACAAAAAAGACTAAATCAGTGTCTTCTAGATAGATAAATCATGCAATTTACCTTCAAACTGCAGAAAAATAGGACAGAGATTTGAAATTGACCCTTCTGGTCAGAAGCCAAGCCAGTGCCTTAAGTTGTTTTAGGCTTTTGTTGTTCATTAGTTTGGATTTTTTAAATTTTTCTTAACTAAATACTAATGCCATGGACCCTGCCACTCATTATGCAATTATTATGATCACATGTTTTAAGAATGTTTGGTTCCGTTAGCAATATTTTATTATTCCCAAGTTAATTAAATTTAAAAAAAAAAACCTAGTATTTTTTTTTAAGTAGCAAGTCCCTTAATTTGTGTTATTCTAATTTAGTTATTATTAGTATTACATCTAAAAATAGGAAAATTGAACTGGATGATTATAAGGGTTCTTGCAAATCTGATATTCCCTAAATTTATGAAAACATGTTTTCTAAAGAACTCGTATTTTGGAATATTTGCTAGTAAGCATAACAACTGCCAGCAAGTATTAAAATGACCAAGGTTTATGGTAACAATCAGGATAACTAGTTTCTATTTGCTGTGCAAAAAATTCAGTGTATGGAAGAGAAGGAAGTTATACTTTAAGCTAATTTCAGTGGCTACAAGATATTGTTGCTGATTTGGGATTTGAAGGAATATGAAAAAGGAAAACACTGTATTTTGGGAGTTCTAAGCAATACAAGCTCATAAATAGCTCAGTTTACTGAAAAGAAATGTACTTGGAGTTCATGGGCCAAGGTCTTGTAGATAGCTGCATCAATGGCAATGGAATCAAGTTGCTTGAATCTTATGAAGTGTTTCTTTAGTACAGCACTGCCACATGGAGAGGGAAACTGCTGATATTGATATGCTAGACTGCAATGTTGAATTCTCAATTTTCACTGTTTACTTTTTCCTTCTGCAGACTTTCATAGTATTGAACAAAGGAAAAACAATCTTCCGTTTCAATGCCACACCTGCTTTGTACATTTTATCTCCTTTTAGTCCTCTAAGAAGAATATCTATTAAGATTTTAGTACACTCATATCCTTTTCAAAATGCTTACTTGTAGTGATACTTTAACATATTTTTTTTATGTTTCACTCAAATATGGACTCTAGCCCTTTTGCACCTGGAATGACTCTGGTTTTAGTTTATCAATTTCAAATATTGGTGTCAGCCTCTGAGAAGATTGGGAAAATAGCAATGTTCGCATTTTAGAATGCATTACCTCTATCTATTATTCCTGTGTTCAAAGAGACAAATAAAACCTTGTCCATAAGCTCATTTATTTTCTAAGAAAAAGTTGTTAGCATTTAAACAATTGTCATTATCAAATATTCTGAGTTCTTACCGTGGTCTCTTATATTCCTTGATTCTAAGCTACCTTATTCAGCATGCTTATCATGTGCACTATTCTGACGAACTGCATATTTATGACCCTGAGTAACCCTCCTGATTGGACCAAGAATGTAGAGTAAGTGGGTAAAAGTACATTTTAATATAGTTTTAGTATTATCATTTTCATCTTTTCCATTTCGTGCCAGGAAGTTATTACGTCTATAAAAATTGTGGTGTTTATCTTCCTTTGCTACATAGTTGCTTCTCCTTTCAGTTCTTGTTTTCTCCTCTATGGTATTAACCTACTAGCAGTAGGCTTGAAAATTAGATGCTACAGTCTTTTCTGGAGGAATGAACTTAGCAGATGCCCTGCCCTGTTCTTTGTTGTTGCTCTTAGGTGCCATAGGGTCAGTTCCGACCCATAGTGACCCTATATACAACAGATCAGAACATTGCCCAGTCCTAACAATCGTTATGCTTGAGCCCGTTATTGCAGCCATTGTGTCAGTCCATCTCAAGGGTCTTCCTCTTTTTCACTGACCCTCTACTATACCAAGCCTGATGTCCTTCTCCAGGAACTGATTCCTCCTGATAAGATGTCCAAAGTATGTGAGATGGAGTCTCGCCATCCTTGCTTCTAAGGAGCATTCTGGTTGTACTTCTTCCAAAACAAATTTGTTCTTAGAGATGTCACATTTTCTTATCCTTGGGTGTATTTCTGATAGGAGCAATGTGGGAGTTTTCTGGGAGATCTAAGACTTATGTTCTTAGTTATTTCAAATACATCTACTCACTGGGAGGGTTTTTGCTAGGTGAATTTTAAGACTTTCTGGGAAGACCTTTATTAGTTTATCCTAATAGTTAGGGTCTATATATTAGCAGCTATGCTCCAACAGCTGGGCCTTCCTTAAGTTAATCAGAAAAAATAAATTATAAAAATTCACATGGCTCTGGGATATTAGACTCTTTTCACACCTAATATTCCAATGGATTCTTGTGTCTAGGTACACTTTTACTGGAATATATACTTTTGAATCACTTGTAAAAATCCTTGCTAGAGGCTTCTGTGTAGGAGATTTCACCTTCCTTCGTGACCCGTGGAACTGGCTCGATTTTGTCGTCATTGTTTTTGCGTAAGTACTTTCAGTTTTTTGAAATTGCCATGAAAATCTCAGACAACACAGTCTTCCAGTAAGAACAAGCCTTAGAGATCTGACCTTTCCTGCATCTAATGGTTGCATTTAAAGGATATTGCAAGAGAACTAGTCATTGATAGACAAATATCAAATTTTTCAGAAAGGGTATTTCCCTCTCTACAGTTTATGATGTGATTAAAATTGATCATCTTCCTCCACTCTCAGAACTTGGATGGATAGTCTGTAAGGTGCCAGTTAGTTTCACACCTTCTCCAAGTTCTTATTTAAGTAAATAAATAAAAACTTTTAAGACGCTCAGAAAAGAATCTCTGGCCTTTAATTATAAGCGTTGCTGTTTTTAAGAACCTACACTACTCAAGAGCTAATGAACATATTAAAATATGAAAGTAAATCTTTTTACAAGCTTTTTTCCCAGCTTCCTCAACCTAACATTAATGCATTGTCTGTGCATTACAGATGCCTGACTAGTTAAAATTCGGTTTATTTTCAAGGGAAAAATACTACATTAAAATATAATTTTAAGTTTAATCATATTGCTACTCTTTCCCCAGATGTATTTGTCAGAAACATGTCTTAATTTTTTTTTAATCTGAAATCTGCTTGTATCTTTCCCTTTCATCATTTTGAATTGTAAAAGTAACGCATGCTCACTGGAACAGTTTATAGACAATAGGGGGTTCTTAAATAACATTGATAGTCTCTTATTGTTTCAGCCTTGCCCCACCTCCTTGTCCATCAGGTTCACTTCTTTCATGACCACATGTGACTGCTGCAGTTCCACCTGCCGCCTGCTGATAAGACAGCATTGTGCCAAAGACGGCTGCCTTTACTCATGCATCTCCTTTTTTACTGAAATATAATTCACATACTATCCCCTCCCCCTTCTAAAGTGTAAAACTCAGTGGTCCTTGGCGTATTCACAGAGTTGTGCCACCATTACCACTCTCTGATTTCAGAACATTTTCATCACCTCCAAAGAACCTTTGTACCTACTGGTAGTCACTTGCGTGCCTCTTGCCCCCCAGTCCCTGGAAACCACTTATATGCTTTTTGTCTCTACAGATTTGCCTCTTCTAGACGTTTCATATAAATGGAACCATGTAGTATGTGGCGTTAGGTGTCTGGCTTCTTTCTCTTAGCATAATGTTTTCAAGGTTTGCAGCTGATGCTTTATAGGAAGTTGAATGTCTACATTAATATAATGCAGAGGGCCTAATAATTGTAGTATTTAATTCTTTATTTAGACATTTAGGTGTGTACAACTTTAATAATATGATATTTGTGTTTTGTTTGCATCAAACGAGTCAAAGTAAACTAAATTAGTGATAAGAAAAGAGACTTGCAGAACTATATATTTAACAAAGGTGTTCCAAACATAAAAAATACATTGACTAAAGGCACAGGTAAGTATCTCAGGCACTATCTAAATTCTGAACAACTCTGATTTAATTCTACAGGTATTTAACAGAATTTGTAAGCCTAGGCAATGTTTCAGCTCTTCGAACTTTCAGAGTATTGAGAGCTTTGAAAACTATTTCTGTAATTCCAGGTAAGAAGTAATTGGTGTGAAGCGTTAGGCCACTCATAACTCCAACTGTTTTGGAGTTGTTCTTTGTTTGTGTGTGTGTGTTGTCACTGTGTTTGTATATAAACTTATTACAGATATGTGACAGAGTTTGTGGACCTGGGTAATGTCTCAGCATTGAGAACGTTCAGAGTTCTCCGAGCACTGAAAACAATTTCAGTCATTCCAGGTGAGAGCGAGGTTAAACACCAAGGCTGACTTTGATCTTTTGGAGGAAAGACAAGAAAAAATTTCTCTTATGCAATTTTAATTATATTTAATTTCTGATGTTTTTCAACATGGTTACTGAAAGTCACCCTGGATGTTTAATCAGTTGCATGGGTCTTGAGGATGAATATGGCCACTTGCCTCACATCTCAATTTGAAGTTTTCCTCCTGGATAAGGGTTCATTTTTCACTTCACTTATCCAGGAATGAAAATTTCAATTAGGTTTGATTACTTTTACTATAGTCAAGAAAAGAGATAATCAATATCAGCATGGGGTTATTGCATGACATATTGTTTTATAGTTTTCCTCAGCAAACCATTTCTTAATTGGAAACTAGTCCATTGTAAGTTGTCACTGTGTACTACAATTCAGCCTCTTATTTATTTTGGTGCCATTATAGAGATGGTTGTTTTGACAAGCATTTATTGAATTAGAACTTCTAAAAATTATTTCTTACAAGTGAGTGTATATATGGCTTGAGCAACCCAATTATTTATTTTGAAAACCTGAATACAAGTAGTCTCCAACTTAAGATGTATTCCAGTTGTGACGAACTGCACTTACGGTCATCTGTTTATTTATTTACTTAGCACTTAATCATTAGTAACATGTACTACATACAATGTTGCAGCGTGTAATTTATCTATAAGTTTGTATGTAATGTTTCCAACCCTCCAAAACAAATAAAGATCAGATTTATAAAGATATTGATAATAAAAGGCAATAATAATGAAAACTAAAAAAACCTGTGGTATTCAACTTACGTCAGAACCGACTTACGACGGAGTCGTCAGAACGGAATCCCGTCGTATGTTGGGGACTACCTGTACTCTTTAGGAATATTTACTAGTTTTAATTATTCACTGTAATCTATAGAAACAAAGTGTGTATAAAATGGCAAATCCACCCTTTTGAGCTAGAAGGCTTTCTTTTTTTTCTCTTTTTTTTATATTAGTTTACTTAAGGTCACATTTGATCTAATGCATGCATTTCTAGGACAGCTTGTTTTTGTTTTTATTTCTCATTCACAGGCTTTATTTCATTATGAACGCCTTTTCTCCTCCTATTTCCAGGCTTGAAGACCATTGTAGGGGCGCTGATCCAGTCAGTGAAGAAGCTCTCAGATGTCATGATCTTGACTGTGTTCTGTCTGAGTGTGTTTGCTCTAATTGGGCTCCAGCTGTTCATGGGCAACCTAAGGAATAAATGTTTTCGAAGTCCATCAGAAAATAATGAAACATTCGAAAGCATACTGAAAACCTTGGAGACTGAAGAAGACTATAGAAGTAAGAATGTCCCTGCGATTGTTAATAGGTTAAAGTAAAGCTAAAAGCATTGCTGTCTTTTAACAGTGACATGTTGGTTTCATTTTAATTATTTCAAAATTATTCAAATATAGGAACTTGCTACAATATGATTCTCTCTGGTTCTAAGCTTTCTGGCAATTCCAGTAATGGGAACGTAGGATCATTCCATAATTCCCAATTTCTATAAAAAAGAACCAGTTTACTGTAGAGAAGTATGTATGACTGTGAATTAATAATATTATTAATTAGTACATCCAATCATATACATATTAATATTACATATTAGTATTGCATTTTATATACTATTGTTATATTTTGGAGCCTTGGTGGCACAATGTTTAAGCACTTGCCTGCTAACCCAAAGGTCGGTGGTTCGACCTCACCAGTGGCTCCACA